GAGATGGAGAGGAGGGAGGAGCAAGCGGGTCCGTCTGGGGCGCCATGGCCCACCGCCACCGGGGAGCCCAGGCGGCCACCTGGGCCGCAGCTGCCGGCTGGCCGCAAGAACCCCGTGGAAGCCGAGCCCGAGCCTGGCTCTGGGGCCGGGGCCGGGCCCGTGGTGGGAGCGGTGGACCCCCCGCGCCCATCCGGAGAGCTTACCAACACAGCGGGGGGGGACAGTGCCCTTGCGGCCACCCACGGGGCCTGCCAGCACCACGGGGGGAAATCTGCCCCTGCGCCCATCTGAAGTGCTGGCGGAGAAGCGGCGGGGGAGAGCGTCAGCCCCCCCCCGCGCTCACCCGCACGACCCACGCATGCGCAAACCTCGCCAAGACACCCATCACAAGTACCCTCATCGGAAGCGTCCCCTTCGGCTTCCGCGCCGCCCCTGCGCGACCCCCTGGCAGCGACAGCGCCACCCACCGCGACAGAGGAGGGCGGAGGCTCTTCTCTCCGTACCCCGCTTGGCGCGGAAAAAAAAAAAGAAAAGCCACAAGCAAAGCTGCAGCCCGTGCTGGCTGCTGCGACCTTGTTGCCATGGCAACCATCGCTGGAAGCGGCAACCGCAAAGCAAGAGCTTCAGCGAACCGCAGCCAACAACAAAAGCAACTCTATTCCGAACATACAGACTTCAAACCGCTCAGCAAAACAATTACAAAACCCGACAAGCAACAACAGCAGCCTGAACTTAATGAAGCAGCCATCTCCACACCACAAATAACTTCCCTAGTTGCTTCACTGATTGCAGACAGTCGAAAAATCCAATGGAAAAAAAAAAAAAAAAAAAGGGATCAAAGCATTCTGACTTGCATTGTTGAGCTGTAAAAAATTTATAGATTTTGCAAAGTAGAATTAAGCAGAGTTTCACTAAGTCTAGATATGAGTGTTTTTAAGGTAAATTTATCACTTTGGTGTTCTTTAAAACTACTTTATTGACAAGTTAGACTGTCAGTTTAAACAGACTAACAATGTTTTATTTACTGTGTGTGTTAGTTCACTAAACTAGTTGTATTAAAGTCAACCATCAAGTCCTTACAAAGAAAACAATTCTTAAACACCAAAAACATAAGCAAACATTCTAAATCAGCATCCATTCAAAGTTCTGGTAAAAGAAACCTCTTGTGCTGTGTTTGTTCTCTTTCCTGCAAGAGCCCAGCAGGAGATTACAAACACTGTGCATTTTTATTTTTTTTTTCTAAAACCTAAAAGGGTGAGTTGTGGATGCTAACTCTGAAACAGAGAGCCTTGTAAAAATTACAGGCCACATAGCTCTCTCAGTCCGGCCTGAGAAAGTAGCCTGGGAATTCATAAGGAGGATTCAAAACAATCTTCATAAGGAGGATTCAAAACAATCCTCAAAGACAGAAAACAGCCTTGCAGGTGTTTCTCTGTCTCTTGTTTCCTTTGCAGGAGAAAGTCAGGGGGTAGTCTGCCCCACTGACCAATGATGGTGGTATAGTAGTTTGCTAACCAATAAGAGTTTCCTTTCTGTACTTTCCACGTATCAGTCTATAAAACAGAGCTGAAATAATAAACTACGAGAAATTCTCCTAATCGACTGCCTAGAGAGTCTGTGCCACTCTTCTCGCCGATCCTAATAAAGCGACACTGATGTACCAGGCCAATGAATCCACACAGTCCAAAAAACACGATTTTCCCTAGCCTCTACCTGGCTAGAGGCAGGGTCCCTCTAAGCCTGGTTATCTTTCTTTCCTTGGGTATATGTCTTGGAAGTTTCTTCAAGGGCATCGGCCACATCATCATCATCATACCTGGCAGTTCGGCTACAGGCAACTGGAGCTGCTTCCCTTTTGGTAGAACTTCCGTTGTGACTCTTCCTTCAATTCATGTACCTGTTGTGCCAGAGTCGCAGTAGATTTCCCATCCCATCTCCTCATGTTTTCTCTGTAATCACACAGGAAGAACTACAGCTCAGCTCGTGGGGTATACCTTCTCTCCCGATCTGGGGAACATCTGTGTTGAGTACCAGGACCTCTGATCTGTACTGCTGAGATTTGGAGAAGGTCCTCTTTAATCTCATCTCTACGTTTCTTGTGATTCTCCTCTATCTTATCTTCTAATTTCTGCAGACATGTTTCCACAGCTGCGATTTTTGCATATGTGGGGCCAGGCATGGCATCTGCATGTGCTCGAAACTTCTTTGCCATATCCAGCACGGTCTCCTCCTTTTCATCCCGCTTCATCATTGCTAAGGCAGATGCATATTCTTGTGGCCCAAGTCATACCAATTTTCGCCATATCACAGATGTACATGGCACCAAGTCTGGATTCTTAGTTGGTATGTCATCTGAAAAGACAAGTTCTGCCAGTGCCATTTCTCTCAGGCGTTGGATCCCTTGTTCGATGGTTTTCCACTGTGTTTGCTGCATGTAGAGATCATCTACACACAGATATCTTTGAGCTACACTTTCCAGGACCCATTCCCAGAGACTGTGAGGGTTAGCCCCCCTCATCATCCCCTGGTCGATAACCAGAGCATGTGACAGGGATCCCAGATGCCTTGCTTCAGTGCCATCCAGAACTGTAGCTTCATCTGTGGCATCCCACAGATGGACTAACCAACTAATTATAAATTCATCAGGTTGTTGAGTGTAGTCCTTCCTTAGGCCACGAAGGTCTTTCAGGAAAAAGGACTCAGTATTAGCCTCTGATCTTGTGCCAGTTGCTTTGACTCTTGATTTTATGTCAGGAGGCATTGAGGGTCCTTCTCCTGCATCATCATCATCATCATCATCATCATCATCATCATCATCATCATCCACTGGTGATCGGTTTTGTCTGTGCACTTTCCAGCAACAGCCATTGGTTGAGGCTTGCTGTCTGGTTTAGCTTGTAACTGGGAGGTTGGCTGCAGCCTGGGTAACTGGGGTAACTGTTGATTTATCTCCCTGTCCTCTTTCTCCTGTTTGTTGCCCTACAGTATCTAGCAATGTACGATAAGCATATGCTAAGACCCAGTTTACTGCAATGATCTTTTTTTTCCTTGGAATCAACATGACACTTCTCTTTCAGGTATTTCCCCACCTCAGCTGGATTCAGAATTTGTTCATGTGGAAAGTCCCAAACTATAGGGTCAGAAAATTGCTTCAGAATTTGGCCCATATCCTCCCATTCTCCACACCACTCAGGATTTTCCACGCCTGGTTCAGGGGTCTCATCAGTCCATCTAGAAATCTCAGCCCTCATTCCAGAGAGGCTGAAGAAAGTATAGAGGAAACTTGCCAGATTAAATGCCAGAAAGATGGTCTCTTTAACATTCAGGGGGAACCGAACACTCTCCAATAGTGATGTAACCAATTCAGAGGAGAAGAAGGAAAGGAAAGGCTGAAAAGCCTCATCCCCTGCTCCTCCTCTAACAAACTGGGTGCATAACCATACCCATGAATCCTTTATACCTGGAACAGACTCCAGCACCTGAATAAATTTCTTAGAAATCATTACCACTAGGCCCAGCCCAATTGCTATTCTAATCCATGCCCCTCTACTGTAAAACCTATGTGTTAGGGACAATACCGGGGCTAGTTCTGGATAAGAAAATAAACCAAGGGACCATAAAGGTATTAAAACCTCAAAAAAGCCTAGCAACCAGAAACACATGAAGGCCTGCAAGCCAAAAGACATTTTTAATTCAAACAGCATGGCTGGATGGCTAGGGACTGCTTTATCTTATCACAATACAGAGTAATTGCCACTTCGGTACATCAGTACAGGGTTTTTCCACTCTCTCTTGCCATGGGCTGGGCACCAATAAATGTATTTGTCCTGGTTTAGGGCAAATTTGGGAGAAAACCTCCAATGCCCCCCCACCCAGGAAGCAAACCCACGTGGCCCCTTTCTCCCACCCCCGCAACCGATTCGGGAAGAGATTTCTCTGAGAGAAGTGGAAAAAACCTGTTTATTTAACAGGCACAGCACTACCCAGCACAAGAATCAACAATATCAAATTACAAAACCTCTCGCCGCTCTGAAGAGATGACAAAATTAAGAGGGTCTTTTTCCTGTGGGTGTTCACTCTGTTATCAGTCCCTTTGGCGCTGGAAAATGCCACTGCCCAGGCTGGGCTCCTGGTAGTCCACGGATGCAAGCTCCCGGTGCTCCCCTGAGTCCCCAGTCCAGAGCAGGTTCAATCGGTTTCAAAGAAATGGGAAAGAAAACAGTCCAGGAAGACCTCTCTGCTTCGGCTAGTTGGAAAGCCAAGGCAATCTGTCTCTTCTTGTCTGTCTGTGCTGCAGTCAAAACCCCATCCCGGGATGCGGGGGGGAGCAAGTACAGTCTCTGATAACAGACTCCGTGCTTCTTTTCCACTCACGTTTACTCTTAGATGAAATTTTAAGGATACAAAACCTATGTCTGAGCTAGGTGGATGAATGGGGATACAATTTACCATCATAATCAAACCAGGACACATCACTTATTACATAAGCCTAACTCCATAATATTTAGCTTAGTTTAAACTACATCACTCTTTTTTTGCTGTAAACTGTTCAGGTCAGATCAACAGTACATTTAGGATTAAATCTAATTTTAAGACAAAAAAAGTATTTGGTGTGTAATTTTGTATCTGCTTAATGAACATCAGTCTTACCTAGTTGATTATTAAAAGGCATTTCCAGCAATCCTTTTTGGTTTTTTTTTTTTGTTTTGTTTCCAGATTCCATTTTTTGAGATAGGAAGTCTACAAAATACCAGAAAAATGGCAGATTATCTACACAAAAAATTTTTCCTTGTATATATTGACTCAGCAGCTGACACTGGAGAATACTATTGGACCATAGGCTGATCTTCTATAATACAAAGGATAAATTCTGCACATGGAAGAAAAAATATTTTTTCTAATTAAATCCACGTGAGAAATTCGGGCTTCAGAAAGTTAAACCTTCCAATATTTGGAACATTTGACATGTAAAGAGTAATAAAGTTATGTATGGATTCTCCTTTTTTTATCTTATTTTCTATCTTTTTTTCTATTTCTTAAGATTTGTGTCAATATTTATTTACAAATTTACAGATAAAAGTGCCAGACAGTCAGTGCTGCTTTTCCCTTGTATTTTTAACTGGTTCTCATTCACAGCTGCAAACAGCCACATGTGACTATTGAAGGATACCAGCCAGTCTGAATGTACAGAATATGCCTAAAGAATATCAGGGCAAATCAGGGCAAATCAGGGCTTTTCCTGACAGTATAAGAAGAAATAGTGCAATTTACTTAGAGCTGCTCATGTAATTTCACAAGTGTTTCATAAAATTAAAATTTGAAGTAGTTGCACAGTATTGGCTTATTGGTTTTACTTACAAGATGTAGAATGCTGTTCGGTAAATAGCAAATGCCTTACAGAAAATGCGAGCATTTTTAATAAAAAGGATTTACTTTACTTGGTAAAGAAACAGCTGCCACATGATAATGGACTTGTACAAGTCCACTGTGGGGCCACACAGTGTTCCAGATACAGTCTATTTGTAGTTTTGCCTTTGGTGGCAGTTTTAGCCAAACTGTCTAAATTGGAATCATGTTTGCATTCCAGAGTTCCTCCAGGTTACAGAAACTCTATGCTATGAAGCTCAGAAGAACAATGTCCCATGGCAATACTTTTTTATGTATGAAAAGAAATTCTGTAACTTAGAACCAGAACCAGTACTGACTTCAGCCAGAACAAGTGTGCACTAACTTGGGTCAGTGCATTGCTTTGCAGATGATGAAGGGAAAACAGGAGAGCTTTAGTTCTGATCACATCATGTATACCTGATGTACTGCCATATTCTGTTTAGCTTATGCTTCCTCCCTGTTGGGGAGCTATTTATTAGTAGAGTAGCAAAGCAGAATTCCCAGCATCACCTAGTTTTATTTGCACTGTTGTTTTGATACAAAAAAGGTGAAACTTTCACATCACTGACTTTCTGTATATTTCACCAGTAGATACAGAATGTGCCCACTTTTTTTCTTCCAAGGCTATTGGTAATAATTTGTGAGTTGCAGTGTCTGTCAATTTCCCCAACAATCTCTGGAGATTACTGGATTCAAAATCCACATCCAGAATATGATTTACATTGTATTATGCTGTCCATTCTGTTCATGTTAATTTGTGGCATGTATAAAACCTTTCCTCACAGTAATATGTCAACACTGACGGGTGAGAGAACACCAAAAGGTAATGAGATGCTTTCAAATAGTGTAATAGTAAGCTCAGGACATCAGTAACCTAAGAATTTGTTATTCTAGCAAGAGAAATTGAAGGAGAGCAGTTGAAATGACTTTGCAAACAATTATATGGAACTTATCACTAATATAGAAGAAACTGTCAGGGTGTTCCTTTGACACTGAGCACTGAACAAAAGAAGTGAATCACCCAGAACTGAATGAGAAACAAGTAGTGGGAGGGAAAACCTGTGAAAGATCCTCAAAAGTGAGTAGGGATGAGAAAGGTGTGACATAAGCAAAGAAATGATAGGAAAACTCAAACTGGTGTTTGGATGTTTGACTTTCTCCGTGGTGGAAGTGATGCCTATTCCTCACATAGGCCAGAAGGTGGTGGTATTCTCAAACAAATTGGATTTCCAATAGCCAGATGGTTTGTAAATATAGTAAGGTCACTTAAAAAAAAACAATTTCTACTGACTGTCCCAGAGTAAAAATAACCTGCTAAGAATATGGCCGTATTCCACCTCGTTCTTTACTGGTATAACTTTGATGCTTGATGATTTTTGAAAAAGCATTGTGGTATTAGAAAACACTTCCTTCTCCCTTTGTTCTTACTGTGATTCCTATCATTTAATGCTGATGAATTTGTTTAGTGAATAGTTTATTTTTGAAAAGGAATGTAGCTGTTAATCTCCTTTTGTCCATAGCCCATTGAGTGTAGAACTCCAGGTCATGAATAATGATAGTAACAAACACCTCTCAGAATGGGCTGCTTTATCACATCATGCCATCTGCTTCTCACATCATGCCAAACAAGTGCTATTGATTGCCTAATTTACTACTTTTTCAGGTCCTAGATGAAGAAGTTTTTTGTTTCTCTTTTTTTTTTTTTTTTTCCACTAGGTGTCTCACTGTATTTATAAATGACACTGGTTTCCTGTGTCTAAATACCTGAGAAAACCAATGTCAGTCACAGCTGTGGACTTCTACCTTTTTCCGGTATGATCACTCTGGCTGTTCCTTTCTGAACAATACTGCCTCACCTTTAAACAACAGGATCAATAGCTCTTGAGAACCAAACTGATGCATATTCTGTAGGAGAAACCCCTCCTGAAATTACCTCAGTTTTTTTGTACTGGATTCTGTGAAAGTATAAGGCATTGAATGTTTAATCAGATTTAAACATTTGTGCTAAACATGATTTTTAAGTGACTACTGCTCAAATCCTCCTGTTTTTTTTCACCCTTTCTACCAAATTATTTAGTGCTTGTTCTGCTACTATTACTGAGAGGAATGACAGGTTTTTTCTTTACAAACAAGCTGTGGGTGTGCTGATAAGATGAAACTATGACTGAGAGGTAACAGAAACAATGGGATGAATTCCATTGAAGGATGAAAGAGGCACTGAGGAAGCACCACGAATTCCACAAGAGTTAAGAATTAAGAAGGGATTATGCTTTGGGGGGTGGTGGGGGTGGGTATCCCAGGTATCAGGCATTCTGGGAAGCCTGTACCTCTCAAGTATCTCAGGCAATGAGGAAAGAGAGAAGGGACAAGCAGCTGGGAAATTAGCATAAAAAGGAGGCTGTGCCCTCCAAAAATTAGAGAGACCCCAGGGGAATGCCCCATGGCCTCTCCCTTTATTCGAATAAAGTAAAATAACTCCTCAGTCTCCTTTTTGGACATAAACTTCTGGTGTTTGTGGATTTATTTTTCTGACATTATTTAGTCTATTTCTCCATTTTTTCAGATTGGATATAGAACCGATGATGCTATTTCTTTTTACATCAGCCGGACACCATTCCTATAGAGGAATTCAGTGAAATAAATGTCTGAATTCAGCTAAACCCAGATTTTGTCTCTTCAAATGCTAAATGCTCAGGAGTTCTTTCTGAGTTACACTTGAAGTCTACTTAAAATGCTAAGCACAGAAGCCCATATATTTTTGAAAATTCTAAGCTGAATATCCACTTCAGCTGTTGTACACATAAAACAATGTCTCACAATTCTCTAGCAGCTCTGTAAGTATTGAATAATCTGTGATCACTGATACCTTCAGGGTCAAAATTTGCTTAAATGTTAGGTCTGTGGATAGTGAGAGGAATGATGAGCTTGTCTTTACAAACAAGCTGTGGGTCAGTTGATAAGATGTAGCTATCAGTGAGAGACAACAGAAACAATGAGATGGATTCCAGTAGAAGATCAAAGAGGCACTGAAAGAACACTATGAATTCCATAAAAGTTAAGAAAGGATTATGCACATGGCGGGGGTGGTGGGTGGGGGGAAGGTATCCCAGGTATCAGGCGTTCTGGGAAGCCTGTACCTCTCAACTACCTCAGCCTATGAGAAAAGAGAGAAAGGACAAGCAGCTGGGAATTAGGATAAAAAGGAGGCTGTGCCCTCCAAAAATTAGAGAGACCCCAGGGGAATGCCCCATGGCCTCTCCCTTTAGTTGAATAAAGTAAAAGGACTCCTCTGTCTCCTTTTTGGACATAAACCTCTAGTGTTTGTAGATTAATTTTCCTGACAATGGTTATGTAGAAGCAATACCCAGAATTGCAGAGACAGCTTTTGACCTAACAGGTCTCGTTCCCAGCATTGCTGCCTAAAATGTTCTAAAAAGTTATTGCTGATGCTGCTCTTCATGAAATTTTCATGAGGATGTAAGGAGAAGACATGCATTTTAATAAGCATGAGAAAAACTGCAGCAACTATTTCACCCTACTTTTAATCCCAATCATTCTCATTAATTAAACTGTAAAGAAAAAGGCAAAAGCACCAAATTGTTTTTCAAAGTGTTTTGTTTTTTTTTCCAGATAACTGTTGCTGGTGATGACATATACAAAAGATTTCACGTGGATCCAGGCCTGGAGGTTTTTTCAATGAGCAGGGTGGCTGCCTTCTCCGTAGATTGCTGCATGCAGGCTATAAACCCTTGCATGCTCTCCAGTTGCTGGGTCTAAGGGCTTATGTATGCGCTTCCCATACTCTGAAGATGTCACCACAGGAACAGGTCTTGCCATTTCCTGTGAAAACACAAAAGTTGCCTATAGAAGAAAATCACAGAGTGAATAGAAAACATGGCAATCTTCTACTGCTAAATGTGCTGAGGCCAGGGGTAAAATAACTGAGAGAATGGTACAGCATCTGCTATATGGATGTGTATTTGTTTAATGCCTTTACTGTTCTGTCTCTGCCCTAGTTTTTTATGTTATTTTTATCTTAATAAACCATGAATGTGTCACTAAATGATGAGATGGTAAGATATGGAGCTGTGGACTGATAATTTTTTACACAAATACATATACACATGCGATTACCATGAGATTACTGGCAAACTAAATGCTAGAAAAGCACAGATTTTAGTTTTCTTATGCATTGAATTGCATAATTCTTTTGAAAAATAGGACAGATTTGTACCCCCTGTTACAGGAACACCTACCCTGCTTGCACAATTCAGTGAAAAAAGCATGAAAAAAGCAAAGCCTAAAGAAAAACCCTGAGCAACCACTAGCCCATGCAAGCTTTCCCTGAAGGAAATAAATCACATACTATGTTATTTCTGAAATGAATGAAAGGTTTTATTAAAAACATTTATAGCTGTAAGATTACAGAAGCAACTGGTTTGCAATTATGGAAAGTGGACTTGATGAAAAACAACCTGACCAAGAAAAGATTTTAAGCTTGTTCTTAGTAAACTGCACTTTAAGTGGCTGTATAATCACTATTTGCAATCTGCAGTTCTTTCCTGTGTTACAGCAACAGGGAGGTACCAAGTCAGAAGGGAAAGATAGGATTTGTTTATTTTTCTTTCCCTAGGAAAAGGTCTCAGATTTATCAGGCTGCTTGTATGTTTGCACACTGACTAACACAGTAAGCCTTGGTCTGCAATGTGTTTTTCTAGTCTTATAATATAAATAGTAACTAAAAGGCAAATCAAAATGCAGATGCTGCACCATAATTCAAGTGCAAGCAAATGACTTCTTTGCTACAACAGACACAAGCCTGGGCAAATTAGCACTTAAGTCCTGAAAAGATGCAGGTGGGAACAAGATATCTCATAGCAGGGCAATCAGCTAAGAGATATTTCCAACCTCATGGACAGAACCTGAGTTTCTTGGAAAGATGCTGTAAACTCTTTTAAAAAACAAACAAAAAGACAAACAAAAAGACTATACCTAACTAACTAATCCACTCAATAGAAAAGTATGGATGCTAAATCTGAACCACAGTGCCTGTACAAATTGCAGGCCGCATGGCTCCTCAAGCTGCCTGAGAAAGTATCCTGGGAAAAATATGAGAAAGAATTAAAACAATTCTCAGGGACACTAAACAGCCTTGCAGGTGTTGTTTTGCAGCCTCTTGTTTCTCCTTGCAGGACAGAGTCAGGGGGGCAAAGTGCCCCCCTGACCAATGGTGGTGATGTAGCACTTTGTTAACCAATAAGAGTTTCTTTTCTGTACCTTTCCACGTATCTGTCTATAAGACAGAGCTGAAGCAATAAACTAAGAAATTCTTGTGTTGTGACTCCCTTGAGAGTCCCGTGTCGTTCTTCCTAGCCGTTCCCAATCGGAACGTGACATCTGGAACGACATCACGACCGCCCGACGTGATGCTGAACCGACCCCTGAGGTCCGGTAACCCGACATAAACTGCAGCCGACCCCCGAGGTCAGAAAGCAACCGACGTGATCTGCTAATCCCCTGAGGGTAAGCAGCGAGCGGAAAAAAGCCAGCCCTTCCCCCTAGAGGGGTAAGTGGAATTCTCCCGGGCTTTCCTAGAGGAAGCTGGTTCTGGAAACCAACGGGATAGTGGAGCCCTGCCAGTGAGCGGGCTTGGAACGGCTCATCTTGGCGAAGCAGAGCTCAAAATTCCCGGGTCTGAGCCAACAGCGTGTGCATAATTGCATTCGCGGAGCCGCCAAGATAAAGTCCTCATAATGAGGAACTGTACTTCAGCTGATGAACAGCTTGCCTACCTTGCATGGCAGGATGCCCTGCCCCGCATGGGACTCAGTGTTTCTGAAGATGCCATGCGTGCTTTATTTCAGTGGGTGAAAGAGCAAGGTTTTGATATAACTATGGACAATGCCTTTGATCTCGAACTTTGGCTGTCGATAGAGAACCATTTATGGTCAAAATTCATTAACAGAGATATCAGCGTGTGTAGCCTAGCAGCCACCTGGGGAGTGCTTTTTAAAGCGCTGAAACGGAGCCAGTCTGAGGACAGTGAAACCGAGATGAGAAACTTAGATGCCGAAAGTTCCTCCGTTGTACAAGATAAAAGACTGGGAGATGAAACCGTGGATGAGCTGCATAGTACTCTTTTAGCTCTGCCCAGACCCTCGGAGGACTTTAGCGGCGGGCAGGAGCAATCTGCAGCCCGAAAATCTCCCTCTCCAGAGCAGTCTGAGCGGCCGCCATCCGCGGAGCTCAGCGCGCGGGCTCTGCCAGCAGAGGAGCCTCTCTTCAGCCCCCCTCGCGCCCGGCGCGCGGGCCGCCG